TTTTTCTTCTATATTATATCTTTATTAGGTATATATTATATATTAATAAAATCTTTTAGTAATTTTTTAGAATTTATTTCTTTTAAAGTTTTTTTTTTATTTTTAAATATTATTTATCTAGTTCTTTATTTTAATCTATTAGWTATTTAAATATTTTATATATTTCTAGTTTTTATTTATTATTTTACTTTTTTAGATATAATAATAAATTTTTTAATAAGTTTTCTTTATTTTTTTTTTAACTATTTATAATTTTCTAGGACATTTTCCGGGAAAAACCTCGCGCACCTATGAAAACGCACCCCCCCAGGTAAAAAGTACTGCGGGAAGGAATTTAAGTTATCAAAGACTCCGTAATCCACCCACTTACCGACTTTCAACGGCTCACACAACGTGGTTGCGTGATGCCACCGAAAGGTCGGAAAAAGGGGGGACCATGGCCGATGCCACAGTTCCAAGAGGACCCCGATATACGCGYCTACGCAGCTGCGGCGATCAAAGAACTCGAAGCATTGAAGAAGCGYTGYRAAGCGGAAGCCACTGGCATRCCTATTRAGATCGCGAAGGAYGTGRTGGCCGGATTCTTRGACCTRGCTCRCYGGGTCAAAGAGACTCCCACGAATGAGCAGCTCGCGCAGCGCCTCACGCGCGTGGAATTGAGTATGGAAAAGACGTAGAAAAAGGTCATATAGGCCTCTTAGGAGATTATCACCACCAAAAGCAACACCAACCGACTTATAGAGACGATCTACCATCCCACACCTCTAGGCTCACGTATCACGAAAAACTCTGCGAACTTCAGTTACGTGATGGGCTTGTTGGAGTCATACATACAGGGCTAAGGACGGAGAGTGCTCTTGTATCTATTAATAGTTCCAAGCGCAGGAGTATCRAGCGGAGRAAGCATCCYATTRACCCCTTTTCCCGCCYAGGAGRAYCTCGAAGTCTAYCTRGAGAAAACTGACCCTAATATTCTAGCTCCTATCAGATAGTTCCCGAATAAGGTCCTCAACRAGGCYAATCTCGCGATCYAGTCGAYCYAGGATATCACTATTATTCACCGTCGATTCCGCGYAGTCCRGATCCAATCRAGTGGGGACATCGTCTTCCTCGTGGATACTGTGGACGACGTGGACCAGCTCATCTATAAAAGCGACTGGATCCATACATTCGGAGTGAATGCGCGGATCCGAAAACGCACCTAGGGTGTTATCATTCGTGGTGTAGACATTAATCTTAATCTAAAGCAGACATCCTTTAAAACGACACTCACCTCACAAAACGTCTCTATCTTCACCTATCTATCCTTCAACATCATGTATATGGGATAGCTAATAAGCAAATCAAAGATTCAGGAACAGAAGCTCACTAAGATGCACCTTATTGTCATATTTAATGATGAACAGACTGCCAATCTCGCCATTATCTATAGACTCATGATCCACGGAGAGCAGCACGCGTGCGAGATCTATAATAAGGCGGCTAACCTTCAGCAATGCTATAAATACCAAATATATAAGCATATTGCACAACACTATCAGTAGCAGGCCTCCTACGCATATTACGCAGGACCTCATGATACTGGGGAGTGTATCACTCTATGGGACCGGGAGCACGCCCAATGCGTGAACTACACTACAGAGAATGCCTAAATTAAAAACCCTGCCCAGAAGCTCAATGATAAGCATTTCTCGTACGCACGAGAATGCTCCATCCACGCTGCGAACCTCACAGAAGCACACCAGATCTGTACATATAGTCCACAGACATATCTACCTGTTGCGAGACCAGGGAGCCACTCTCCCGGGATCGTGACCCAGAATGACTCAACACCCGCAGAAGCAGCAGCGTCAATGATGGAGTGAAGCTCTCGTCCCCTGATCCAGACGAACCTATCCCCAAGATGCAACTCGGCTCCATCTCAGAGCAAGAGCGTGGCACGGAAACGAGCCGCGGAACCAGGAAGCCCCAGCACTCGGCCTAACACCTAAGCACTCAAGAAGACCATGCAGATATAGGAAATCGTGGGTGTAGAAGTCATGGCAGAGGTGTCAACAGACCCTTACTCCCTAATTATATATAAGACTCATACTAAGAAGACCCACACCAAGCCGGCACCAGGGACGCCGATTCTAGAATCAGATATCACCCCGTTGCAGGAAGGACACGTCGAATCAGTCCCATCCGTCCGCCGTGCCCGGAGCGCACGTACGATCCTGGACGACGACAAGTCAGAGAACGAATTGAGCTGGCTGTCGGAGCATAGGGCTCCTATAAAACCAGTCAAGCCCGCAGAGCCAGAGGAGGAGCTAGAAGAAGACGACACTCTCATAATACACAATATCGAAGATAGCATTTGGAACACTTAGTAATGAATTATTACGCCAATTGACTACGAATCTTACAGGCTAACTGCTGGAAATCGCGAGACAGGGTCCAGATCCATCTCTTTAGTGAGAAAGAGGTGCTCAAGTACAATATCCTAGCTATCTAGAAACCATATATCAATAGGAAAACAGACCCTCTAACCACATATTCACTAGCGCTCCAAGGCCAATTCCATATCTTGCTGCAGCCCACGCCACGAAAAGACTTCCCAGACCGTCCCTATGTATGTTTCTACGTGAATAAGCGTATCAATCCAATCACGTGGGAAATCCGGTTCTACAACCAAAACCTAAGCATGCTGATCCTCCACATAGAGATATAAGGCACTATCCACGTACACAATATATATAATTCTGGTATAGCTAGTGATAAAGCATCATCACTACCCTCCCTCTGGGAAGCAATCTAACCCGGCGCGCAAAATATCATGCTAGGAGACTTCAATCTCTACCATCCACTCTGGCAGGGCACTCAGTATCGATACACCGATGACGACGCCACACATCTCATTGACCTCATGGACGAACACGAACTGGAGCAACTCCTGCCTCCGGGCACCGTGACGTACGAGACCAATAACGCCAAGACCACCATCAACCTGATCTGGGCGTCACCCACGTTGTCCAACTGGCTGGTGAGCTGCTCGGAGAAGCGCGAGTGATGGTACAGTACAGACCACGTGCCTATCCTCACCCAATTCGACTTCACCCCGGTGAGCATGCCTCCCGTGGAGCGAAGGGATTGGGCGTCGTCCGATTGGGACCTCTTTCTCACGCTCATAGGAACGCACGATTGGCATCTACGCGTGTTAACGGACAAGGAGGGGATCGACACGGCGTTACATCACCTGATTGAGGCAATCAATAAGACCGCCAAGCAAGCGACTCCTATCAAGCAGATCACCCCCTATTCCCAACCCGGATATACTCCAGAGATGATAGACCTCAAGCATCATATCTCACAGTGCCGACAATACACCCACTAAATTCAGACGGAGGACGCATGGTTAGCGTATAAAGAGATGAAGAATGAACTCAAAAAACATACGAACCAGCTCGCGCGGGATCTCCACCACCGCCAAATCGAGGAAGCAACCGAGTCTCTGAGTAGCTTCTGGAAAGTGGCACGCTAGGTCCAAAACCAAGGCTCGCTATGTGCTACATTCACGCCAACACTAAAATACAACAACACCAAATACACCGCTCCAGCGGAGAAAGCAAAGCTCCTTCGGGAAGTGCTCTACCCAGAGCCTCCAGAGGCGGATCTATCAGATATCAGGCCTTAATATCGATATCCTACTCCGTATGAGACGCCGCCCATCACATTAGACGAGGTCTGGACGGCCATCCTCGCTGTGAAGCCAAACAAGGCTCCGGGACCAGATGGCATCCCGAATCTCATCCTCTAACGACTGCTCCCACTGATTGAAGACTATCTCGTGAATCTATTCAACACATGTCTACAGTGCCACTATCACCTGGATCATTTCCGATAGTCCACCATGGTGGTGATCCGCAAACCAGGGAAACTAGACTACACAGATCCCAAGGCCTATCGCCCCATCGCGCTACTCAGCATGATTAGGAAGACGCTAGAATCCATGATCGCAAGCTATCTAGTAGAAAGACACAATCTACTGCCGAAACACCATATTGGAGGTCGACGAGGCCGCTCCTGCGAGCTCGCGATCCATCTCCTATTAGAAGAGACTCACCACGCCTGGCGGGACGGCTCACGCGTGGCCTCCGGCCTCACATTAGACGTGACCGGGGCGTTTAACAACGTGAATCATATAAGGATGCTCCACGACCTACGAAAGCGCCAGGTCCCAGACGAGATCACGGGATGGATTAGGAACTTTTTAAGCCACCGCCGCACATCGATCGTACTGCTAGAGGGCAAGATGGGCGAATTCGATATCAATACTGGGATCCCTCAGGGGTCTCCACTGTCGCTAATCCTATTTCTCTTCTTCAACGCGGATCTTATCGAGCAGATACAAGCCGAGTGCCCAGATACGTACGTCATTGGATACATCAATGACATCTTTATCATAGCATTCAGGAGATCCGCGGCGGCTAATTGCCATACCCTCACCTACGCGCACCAGGTGGCAGAGCGCTGGGAGAGGACCCACGCCTCTTGGTTCAACCCCAAGAAATACCAACTCGCCTATTTCTGACGGAAGCACCAATCGGTGCTGAGACTGAGAGGTAGACTCGACATACCATTAATAGTCAAGGGAATGCAGATCCAGGCCACGGACTCCATCAAGTATCTCGGAGTTATGCTTGATACGTATCTCATAGGTGATGTACACATATGATAGATAAAGAAAAAGGCCGCGAAGATGGTGGTAGGACTGGCGTCTATCGCGGGATCGACCTAGGGGACTCTGTTGATCTATCTCTGGAAGATATACACCACCATCCTCTAGCCACGGATCATGTACGCGTGCTTAACGTGGTATATCCGTGGCAGGAGAGGCTTTGTGGCCGCGCAACGTGCCATGGAGAAGGCGATCCTCTTGATCCATTCCTAGGCACTCCACTGGATATCTGGCGCGTTTAAACGGACGTCACGGCAAGCGCTGGAGGTCTACCTCCACGTACCACCTCCCGAACTCACGCTCGCGAGATTGGCGGAGGAGGCATGTCTACGGCTGATGACCTCACCTCTACGATCGACCCTTCACTCTACGCGGACTCACGCACATCAGAATGACCCCTTTACGTCGCCACTACACCGGCTGGAGGCAGTCATTGACCGAAAACTCAGACGTGGCATCTGCCACTGGATCGAGACCATTCACCTCTTTGTGGTGCCACTATGGTGGGAATCACCAGACATGAGAATCGACGATACACGGGAAGATGCCGTTAATGCACAGACTACGACAAAAACAGGACTTCAATTCTTTACAGATGGGAGCGGATTTAATAATAGGATTAGTGGTGCGGTGTACTCACCAACACTCGGCTACGTGGCGAGACTAGTGGGCTCGTCTGAGACACACACCGTCTACACCAGTGAGCTGGAGGGAATTGACGCCGCATTGAGCCTCCTGATCTGGAACCAGCACCACATTGATACTACAGTATGAGAAGCTATCATCTACACCGACAACCAAGCAGCAATCCGCGCCACGTGCCACCCTCAACAGTCCTCTAGGCAGTACATTCTGCGCCAAATCGTCCGTCAACTGGACCTGCTACGGGACCCGAGATCCAGGTGGAGAATACGTCTACAGTGGGTGCCAGGGCATGAGGGTGTCCCTAGGAATGAAGAAACAGACCGGTTGGCAAAGCTCGCCGCGGTGGAAGCCACACAACGGACACAGGAGAATGAGCGTAGAGCTCGGATTAATGCACCCAACCAGACTACGCCTCACGCCGCACGCGTCTCCTACAACCCGTATTACTCTATGATCCTCGTGGCGGTGTGTAGGCAGCGTCTGCGAGCGGGCTTCGCAAACCGGTGGAAAGAGCAGTGGGATGGTGCCGAGCATGGACGGCACCTCCACTGGATCATACGGACACCAGCAAAGAAGGTCTTACTACTGCATGAAGGACTGCGGAGAGCGTGGAGCTCCGTGCTCATCCAGCTGCAAACCGGCAAATCGGCGCTCCGCGGATATCTCGCGAGCGTCAATATCGAGGACTCACCCATATGTCAATATGGACGTGGTAACCAGACAATGGTGCATGTGCTTGTCCTATGTCCTCTCCACACACAGCTCCGTACGGAGACCCTATATGTAGAAGCACGTGAAATTAATGACCGGAAGCTCCTTTCCGAACCCTGTTGGGTGCGAAAATGTATCGAATTTGTATTATGAATGCGTCTGTTGATATAGTTCTGTAATATCACAATATAACCCAGTATCGCGCTCTCAGTGAGTGCAACCCCTTCTCGAGGAAGATAGCTCTGTCAATCCGTCTCGTACGAATCAGTCACTCGACCCATCCAACTAACGACACTGGGCACCCCTTTCTCCGTATTCCATTTCTCCAACCCCAGCTTGTCCTTCGTTATACGTATTTCCTAGCGTTAGTCCTTTCTGAGCGTTCTATCGTCCCCTGTGATCAGGTATGTATTTACATATTTCATTTATTAGTGTTTTAGCGTTCTGCTTCTCGCGTTATTGTTATTGTTGTCGTTATTTTAAAGCTGGGGCTACATGTCAAGGTTTTCGCGTGGTGCGGGCTGAGTCAGCCCGTGCCAAGCCGGGAGTCTTGGCACTTCTTTTCTTTGTATGGTAGTACGCCCGCTGCCCAATCGGAGGCGCCACCGGCCACTAGGCTTAGATGCGTGTATGAATCAATCAATCAATCAATTATAATTTTCTAGCTTTTTTCTTTTTTTAATTTTTAAAAAATAATTACTTTCTTACTTTATATTTAGATATATATTATATTAGTCTTTAATATAGAAAGTCTATATAATAAATCTATAATCTAGATGTTTAAGATTATTATATAATTTTTAATACTTTAATCTATATTTAAATTCTAGTATTAATTTAATATCTTTCTATTTATTATTAATAAAGATTTCTTTAATTTAGCTTTTTTAAATATTATAATATTAGCTTTTAAATTTTTTATAAATTATATT